GCCCGGGAGGAGAGGGGCCCCAGCCCCGCAAGCCTCCCACGCTCCCTCTGTGGCCCGTCCCAGGCCTTCAACGTGGTCTTCGAAAACGCCATCCAGAAGACGGCGCCCGCGGACGAGGTCAAACAGCGGGTGATGAACCTGACGGACGAGATCACCTACTCCGTCTACATGTACACGGCCCGCGGGCTCTTCGAGCGGGACAAGCTCATCTTCCTGGCCCAGGTTGCGTTTCAGGTAACGCGCCCCGGGCGGCAGCCCCCGCGCCCGGAGCCTGTGGGGTGGGGGGCGGCTGCTAGCGGGCGCGGGGCTCCCCGTGGGGTGAGCGAAAGGTCAGGCCCTAGACAGGGTGACGGTCCTACTGCGACAGAGTGAACGTGCTGAATGCCTCTGAACTTCAATCGGGTTAAAATGGTAAATTTTATGTTCTATGGATTTTGCCAGGATTTTTAAAAATTTTTTAAAAAGTGGAGACGTTTTGCCCCAACCCGAGGGGGCCGGACGGTGCTGGCCCTGCAGGCGGGGCCGTGGGGGCCTCCTACCCCTCCTGGACCCTGGCTGGGCTCCTCCCTGCGCCTCCTGCATGTGGACGTGGCCCCCCCCCCCGTGGCCGGGCACTGACGGTCCCTGTGCCCCGCAGGTCTTGTCCATGAAGAAGGAGCTGAACCCGGTCGAGCTGGACTTCCTCCTGCGGTTCCCCTTCAAGGCCGGGGTGGTGTCGCCCGTGGACTTCCTGCAGAATCAGGGGTGGGGCGGCATCAAGGTGGGTGGAGGCCGTCCTCTCCGCCCGCTCCCCCCGGGGTGTTCACAAGCCCGACAGCTGCGAATCAGCAGCGGAACCAAGGCCCCAGGGCGATGGGCCGCCCGCCCGCCAGCCCCCGGGGCCTCCGCTTTCCTGTCCCAACGCGGCCCCGCGCCCCCCGCGCCACAGCTCTCCCGCCTCCAGTTCCCAGGAAAATGCAAAATGTCCAGGTCGTCCCTCAGATTCCTGGGTGCACACAGGCGGGGGCCCCTGGTCCAGAACCTTCAGGAGAAGCCGCCAGACTCGCTCCCCAGATCAGAGCCCCCCTCCCAGGTTCCTGGCCCCCGCTGGTTGGGGTGTGGCCCGTGGTCTTGGTGACGACGGGCCCTACAGCCATCCTTGTGCCAGCGCCTGGGCTCCTCCGAGGGGGCATTGTGGGGGGCAGGGCTGCGGGAGGGAGGCGGTGGACAGGGGAGACCGGAGGGTCGTCTGCCCCCAGGCCCTCTCGGAGATGGATGAGTTCAAAAACCTGGACAACGACATCGAAGGGTCCGCCAAGCGCTGGAAGAAGCTGGTGGAGTCGGAGGCGCCCGAGAAGGAGATCTTCCCGAAGGAGTGGAAGAACAAGACGGCCCTGCAGAAGCTGTGCATGGTCAGGTGCATGAGGCCCGACCGCATGACCTACGCCGTCAAGTGAGCGTGGGCCTGGGCGTTGGGGGGGGGAGCGGGCCCCGTCGCCCCGAGGCCATGGCCGCCGCCACGGAGAGGCAGGCTCTGTGAGGCCCCCGGTCCACGGGGGAGCGGGGCCCAGAGGAGTGGAAGGGTTGGCCTGTGTCGGGGCAGGCGGGACCCGCCCGGTCCACCCGGTTCCGTCTCCGAGTTCTCCTGAGCTCTCTCCGTCTAAGAAGGTGGTCGGCCGGCGGGACCCTTGGCCTCTGCCAACCTGGGCGAGGAGGGTGCCCGGGGTTAGGTGATGGAGAAGCAGGCCCCCCACGGGAGCCTCCGAGGTTAAAGAAAAGAAGTGTGGGCACCAATGGCCTCCGTGGCCGCACAGGCGGAGTCCTTTGAGCGTGTCATGGGGAGAAAACCCCTGAGTTAACACACGTGAAACCGGGCGGTGACCTGGGGAGGGAAACGGAGGCTGACCCTGGGAGCAGCGGTGTCCTCGGCAGGGGCGTGGGCGACCAAGACGCCAGGCGCACCCGGCCAGGCTCTGGCGTTCCTGCAAGGTGGGGGGAAGCAGGAGCACCGCCCTCATTACGCAGAGGGCGTGTGGCCCCAAAGCAAGGAAGCTCTGACTGACGGCCAATGGTAACAGCAACCCCGGGCGCATGGGGCCAGGTGGACAGAGCCCGGGCTTGGGACGGAGCCGGCTTGTGTGAAGAAAGGTGTTTATGGGAAGTCCCTTCTTTCCCCGTGGCCTTCTGATCCACGTTTCGTGGTCCTTGGAGAAAATGGCTGTGATCCCAGCTTCCTTCCCCCGCAACGCCCCCACCCGGCCCCCACCCA